GCATTGGGGAAGTCCTTGGGGTTGGAGGTTAGTGGGGAGGATGTGGAAGAGTTGGTGGAGGAGGACAATGAAGAACTAACCACTGATGAGCTGCTAGATCATCTTCATCAGCAAGAGGCCAGACCTGAGGAAACTTCTTTGGAGGAGGGGAGAGAGAAATTGAAGTTGCCTACTTCAAAGATTAAAGAAATCTGTGCAATGTGGCTTAAAGTGCAAACCTTTGTGGATGAAAATCACCCTCAGACAGCTGTTGCAAGCCATGTTGGCAACCTGTACACTGACAGTGTTGTGAACCACTTTAGGAAAGTCATAAATGAACGAGAGGTACAGACCTCTATGGACAGATATGTTGTGTGACAGAAGTCCAGTGACTCTGAAGCTGGTCCTAGTGGCATTAAAAGAAGGAAAGTAACCCCGGAAAAGGACTTGACAACTCAAGCCCTAATGGAAGGGGATTCCCCTTCTAAACACTAAGACCATCAACACTCCCCTCCTCCCATCCCATTAATCATCACCAGATCTTCAATAAAGGTAAGTGTAATGTAACTGTGCATGTCTTCTTCAGTTTGTGTGTATTAAAATTAATATTTCATGTGGTAAAAAAAAAAAATTTCATACTTTTGGGTGCCAGGAACGGATTAATTTGATTTCCATTATTTCTTATGGGGAAAATTAATTCGCATAACGATAATTTCGCCTAACATTGAGCTCTCAGGAACGGATTAATAGCGTTATGCGAGGGTCCACTGTATAGACATTTTCATTACTCCATCTATTATATCTTCAAAATTGCGTAAGAAACATGTTACATAGCATATAAACATGCAATGTTTATTATATGCGATGTATATGTAATACTCTTTGCCACATTAAATGTCTTATTTTACATTAATATAGACATTTTCATTAATTCATCTATTGTATCTTCTTCAATATTATATAAGAAACACGTTACATAGCATATAAACGTGCAATGTTTATTATTTGCAATGTATATTTAATAATCACTCTTTGCCATTTTAAATGTTTTATTTTATATTAATATAGACATTTTCATTAATCCTTCTTTGATATCTTCTTCAAAATTATAAAAGGAACACGTTACATAGCATATAAACATGCAATGTGTATTATATGCAATGCATATTTAATAATCACTCTTTGCCACATTAAATGTCTTATTTTACGTTAATATAGACATTTTCATTAATCCATCTATGATATTTTCTTCAAAATTATATAAGAAACACGTTACATATGTAGCATATAAACATAGCATATAAACCTGCAATATTTATATATCGAGTGGAGAGTGGGGTGGTGAGTAAATTTTAAATTTTCTGTGATGCAGCGGTTAGAGAAAACTGTGAATCTGGCGACTGGTGCGGTAACCGCCCTTCATATGCGTTTGTTTACAATTCTCGGCATGAATTATTCATTACTTCTCCCTTTGTTTATGATGGCATCTAAAGGTAGTTGTTAGAAACGATTAAACTCAGTGAACATGGTAATAATATGGCTGTGTAGTGTAATAATATGGCTGTGTAGTGTAATAATATAGCTGTGTAGTGTAGCCCAGGGGGGGCTACGTACGTGTACTGTACCTACATCTACCGCTACCTACACTGACCTCCTACAGATAAATACTATTCACCTCTTGCCCTACATTAAGACTACAAATATTTTAAGGTAAGTAATGAATGTACTGTAGCAGTAAATGACAGATTAAAGAGGTGTGTGCAATGTGGACTAGGGTGCACGCTTTTGTAGAAAAACACCACCCTGACCAAGCTGAAGCAAGCCATGTCTGCAGCATGTTCAGTGACAAAACCCTGTCCCACTTCAGGGAAATCTTAAAGAGATGCCAGAAACAGACCTCTATGGACAGATTTGTTGTGAGACTCAAGCTGGTCTCAAGCTGGTCCTAGTGGCATTAAAAGACAAAGAAGGAAAGTAACCCCAGAGAAGGCTTTGCTACCTAAAAGTTTTTATGGAGGGGGATTCCCCTTCCAAACACTAACTCCTCCCTCTTTCCTCTTCTCTGTCTTCCAGATTCCAGCATTAGCCTTCACTAAAGGTATGTAATACTTACGTAATTGTTAAAAAAATGATTTTTTTGTTAATATTTTTGTCTGGAACGGATTAATTGTATTTCCATTAATTCTTATGGGAAATATTAATTTGGTTTTCGGCAATTTCGGTTATCAGCCGACCTTCTGGAACGGATTACGGCCGATAACCAAGGGTCCACTGTATATGACATTTAATACGCCTCTGAGTGATTATTATTGCATATTATTATTATTATTATCATTATTAATATGGCTTTCTCAAGAATAACAAGACACTCTTAGCAATTTTAATGTGTACATGCATGCAAGCACAGTGTGTAAGTTTATTTAGGTAAAGGTACACTTAAGTATAATTATCAGAGTATATATAAAACATGAAATAACTTTAAAACTCTTGAAATTTTGGAAAGTTTCTGGACATAATGGAGAGGTGCTCATGGAGCTCAGGGAAAATGTAAAAAACTGGGTGGGGCACAGTGACCATATTAGAAAGTTAGGTGGGGAGATCCGTATAGCGAGTTTTGGTCATAATTTGAAATACATGTATCTGTATTAGTGGAACTCTGTGAGGCAGGGTCCTACTGTACTTATCGTCGCTCTGGAAGTAACAGATAGTGGTTTTGTGCATACTGGCTAAATATTTAAGTCTTACCAATTAATGTGGTGTATATAATGGTATCCACCCTATGGAAGGGTGGATAGCATTATATACCCTGTGAAAGGGTGGATAGGGGAGCAATGTGGCAGATGTTGCAAGTGTATGGAATAGGTGGTAGGTTACTGAAAGCAATTAGTTTTTATGAGGATAGGCTCAGGTTAGGGTATGTAGGAGAGAGAGAGAGGGAGATTGTTTTCCAGTAAAGGCAGGCCTTAGGCAGGGATCTGTGATGTCATTATGGTTGTTTAACATATTTATATATGGGGTTGTAAAGGAAGTGACTGCTAGGGTGTTGGAGAGAGAGGTGTGATGTGAAAATACGTAGAATCTAGTACAAACTGGGAGTTGTCACAGTTGCTTTTTGCCGATGACACTCTGCTCTTGGGAGATTCTAAAGAGGAGTTGCAAAGATTGGTAAACAAATTTGGGAGCACATGTAAAAGAAGGAAATTAAAAGTAAACATAGGAAAGAGCAAGGTGATGAGGGTAACAAAAGATTGAATATCAGATTGGAAGGAGGTACTATGAAGGAAGTGAATATGTTCAGGTATTTGGGAACATATTCAGATATTTGGAGACAAAGAATGTTATCCATGGAGGCAGAGAAGGGAATGTACAAGAGTATAGTGGTACCAATACTCTTATATGGGTGTGAAGCATGGGTTGTAAATGCTGCATTGAAAAGGAGGCTGGAGGCAGTGGAGATGTCATGTCTAAGGGCAATGTGTAGTGTACATATTATGCAGAGAATTCATGGTTTATAAATTAGGAGGTGTGGAGTTGCTAAAAATATTATTCAGAGGGCTGAGGAGGGTTTGTTGAGATGGTTTGGTTATTTAGAGAGGATAGAGCAAAATAAGATGACTTAGAAGGTGTATAAATATGAAGTGGAGGGGAGAAGGGGTAGGGGTCATCCCAGGTAAGGATGGAGGGAGGGAGGGGGTAAAAAAAGGTTTTGTGTCCAAGGGGCATGGACATACAGCAGGCATTTGTGAGCATGTTAGATAGGAGAGAATGGAGACGAATGGTTTTTGGAACTTGACGAGCTGTTGAAGTGTGAGCAGGGTAATATTTTGTGAAGGGATTTGGGGAAACCAGTTAACCGGACTTGAATCTTGGAGATGGGAAGGACAGTGCCTCCACTTTAAAGGAGGGGTTTGGGATATTTGCTGTTTGGAGTGACATCTGAACTGTCATATCTGAGCTCTTCTGCAAAGACGGTGATTATGTGTGAATGATGGTGAAACTGTTTCTTTCTTTTCTTTGTCACCCGGCCTCATTGGGAGATGGCCAGGGTGTTGAAAAATTTGGGAGTGGACTTGTTGGCAGATATGTCAGTGAAAGATGAGGTGAATCATAGAATTGAGGAAAGAGGTGCTTAGTGCATTGAGGCATCTGTGGAGACCAAGAATGTTATCTATGGAGGCAAAAAGGGGACTGTAATGAGAGTATAGTGGTACCAGCACTCTTATATGGGTGTGAAGCATGGGTTGTCAATGCTGCAGCAAGGAGGCAGCTAGAGGCAGTAGAGATGTCATGTCTGAGAGCATTGTGTGGTGTAAATATTATGCAGAGAATTTGTAGCTTGCAGATTAGGAGGAGGTGCAGGGTTACTAAAAGTATTATTCAGAGGGTTGAGGAGGGGTTGTTGAGGTGGTTTGGACATTTAGAAAGGGTGGAGCAAAATAGGATGACTTGGTAGGTGTATAAATCTGTAGTGGGGGGAAGGTGGGCTAGGGATTGCCCTAGGGAAGGTTGGAGGGAAATGTAAAAGAGGCTTTGTGTGCAAGGGGATTTAACATTCAACAGGATTGTGTGAGTGTGTTAGATAGAAGATAATGGAGGCAAATTGTTCTTGGGAGTTGACACATCAATGTTAGGCAAGGTGTTCAATTCTAAACTTTAAAAAATATGATGGAATTTGCCATATTATCATTAAAGTATATCCAGTAATTCAGATTTTCTACTCAGTTTCATCACAACCTTTCTCTTAGCAGATTTAGCTGACTCACCTTTCCCATTCTTACTACTCCTAAGAACCATAATGCACATTCATATTTTGTAAAATGATAAGTGAAATTCATGTGGACAGTATTAACGTTTGTTCATTATATGAGTTCATTTTTTCTGTCATATGTACATTTTTGCTTGGTACAAAGTGCTTCCCACACATAACACGAGACCTCTGAATGTTGGATATTTTTGCAGAACATTCTGTACAGAAATTCATATGAATAACACATGATATGTAATGTATTATTATTTTAAAGGTAGAATTTGAGGTTTACTCAAGCCTTGGTCTACACATTCCACGTTTCAACTCCATCATTATCTCCCAATTACGAGGAATTCTGAAGCGCAAGCATACCCTTCCATATTTCAAATTGCGAGGTCCACCACTCATCAAGAGAATAATTCATCCAATCAACGAAGAAGGTTGTTCCGTCCCTTCAGGAAGACTGACTGGAAGCATTGTGAAGTGTACAAGATTGCAGGTTCAGTATAATATTTTACAGTTATTATGTGTTTGTGATGCATTATTTAATAGAAGTTCATTATTACTGAATGTGGCCACTGTGATTGTTTTGGTTAATTGCAATAGTCAGTGCAGTCTGCTTACAACTGAAAGGTCTCGTGGATAAGTCTAGGGCATGGCAGGACATATAGACAAATCTCCTTGCTTCTCCTGTACATATTTAAGAAATGTTTAGTATTATTCAGACTAAAGCTGCAGGTTATAAAGCATCTGCAGACAAGGTTGGTGCTGACAGCTGTTTAGATGAATTTGCTAAGTTGGTAGAGCAACATAATTAACTGATAAAATATACAGTGCTAGTCATGGCATTATGCCGTGTGAGCTCCCCAGCATAATGTCTTGACGAAAATCAAAGGCTTTTTCATCGGTTCATTGTGCCGGGTAGCAGCCATTAGCATGATGTCACAGCCTGCTGCCACACTCCACAGTAACTCCTCAGTGCTCACGTGACTGCCATGGTGAGAGGAAGTGTTACACTTTTATCTCTCATCCACCCCATCTTTTGTCCGGTGTTCCCTTTGGTTATGGATATAAGAAACTATAGCTCAAATCATAGGGCTTCACAAAGCTGAGAACCAGACGAAAGAAATAGTAGAGAATGTTGGTGTGTGTGTGTGTGTGTTCAGTGAGGAACTGGGTGCAACGTTTCAAGGCTGGTGGCATTGTTGAGTTACCGTCTGCCAAACCTTGGCCTGGCCCCTCGAAGAAGACATCTGTTTGTACCTTAACCCTTTGAGGGTTTCAGACGTACTAGTACGTCTTACGAGCAGGGGTTTTTGACGTACTAGTACGCATAAATTCTAGCACCGTCAAATCTCGCGGGAAAAGGCTGGTAGGCCTCCATATGAAAGAATGGGTCTTTGTGGTCAGTGTGCATGGTATAAAAAAAATCCTGCAGCACACAGTGTATAAGAGAAAAAAAAAACTTTGACCGTTTTTTTGGAATAAAACAGCCACTTTGCAATGTATTTTCGTATGGTATTTATTGTTGTATTCTAGTTTTCTTGGTCTCATTTTATAGAATGGAAGGCATATCACAGAAATTGAGATGATTTGGACTGGTTTTACAATGAAAAGTACCTTGAAATTGAGCTCAAAGTAGCACAAATGTTCGATTTTTACCAAAGTTCAAAAGTAAACAAATCATGCCAAGCGTCCAATACACGTCAACTGGTGAGTCTAATATTCCTTTTCAAGTGTGCCAATATGATTTATACCATTTTTTACACTAATGCAGTAGTCTGCATAACAGTAAATCTTCTATTTTTTGTGAGAATAAAAATTCAAAGTGGAAAGCAAAAGAATGTAAGAGGGGCCTTGAGACGTGACTAATGAACAGAGGAAATGTCATTTTAGTGCCAGGAATGTATTTTTTGTTTGTTCTGGACCCTATTCGGAAATTGGCATTTTTTGAAATTTGTGTGAAATTGGCAAAATTGTTAAATTCTGACCACTGTATTGGATAGCTGAAAATGGTAAATGGGTGGTTTCTTGCACTTATTCAGTAGAAAAAACGTAGTTCTAGCGAAATATTCATGTTTTTTGTCGACTAGTACAGTGGAATTGGCTGAAAATGGGGCTCAAAGTGGGCAAAATCGCCGATGCGTAAACATCGCCGAGACCGCTAACTTCGCGAGAGCATAATTCCGTAAGTTTTCCATCAAATCTCATAATTTTGGTGTCATTATGATCGGGAAAAGATTCTCTATCTTTTCATAAGAAAAAATTATTCTTTTTTTTTTTTTTAAATTTGGCCGACCCTGAGAACGAGTTTCTGAGAGGGCCTGTCGACCCTCAAAGGGTTAACTGTGTTAAAGAAGCAGTTAGAGAGTACACCTAAGATAATTGCTAGAGAATTGAAAGAAAAGAACCCCACATCTTATCTCAGAGGTGTCCGTAAGAACTGTTAACAGACGTGTGTCAGAACTGGGCTACAGTAGTCACCGCCAGGTTAAGAAACTGATCCTCTCCAAACCACAGAAGAAATGTAAGCTGGATTATGCAAAGAAATATCTTCACTGGAATCCTCAACAGTGGTCTGAAGTACTTTGGAGTGATGAAACAACCTTCACCGTCACCTGTAACCATGGGGGATGTGTGTACCAGCCCAGAGGTAGCAACCCACTAGACCCACGCTACGCCTGTGGGACCACCAAACGCTCATGGTTTGGGGTGTTTCAGTGCTCAGGGTAATAATAATAATAATAATAATAATAATATCTTTATTTACTACAAGTACACGTGCATGGTATACAGGCCTAGCTGACATCAGGGACATACTACTGTATAGAAAGCCACTTGTTGTGATGAGCATTTTGGGCAAATTAAGTCAGTTTTGTCCTAGGATGTGACCCACACCAGTCAACTAACACCCAGGTACCCATTTTATACTGATAGGTGAACATGGATGGCAGGTGTCTTGTGGAAACACGTCCCTAATGTTTTCCAGCCATACCGGAGGAGATTCGAACTCCGGACCTCAGTGTGTGAGCTTAGTGCGCTAGCGATCGAGTTACAGGGACACCTTAAAGTGTTGGTGAACTCATTGTGTTTCCCAAAAACCAGTATATGAACCAGTATAATTACCTGGAGTTATTGTGTGACAATTTACCTGAGGCATTTGACAAGTGTGGGGCTACAGTTTTTATGCAGGATGGTGCACCATGTCATACTGCCAAATGTGTAGTTCAGTGGCTTAAGGACTGTGAAGTGAGGTTCTTTAATGACTGGCCAGGCAATTCCCCAGACCTAAACCCTATTGAGAACCTCTGGTCAATAGTGAAACGAAGTTTACTGGACAAGGATATCAGTTCCATCCTGTGGCCTGAGGCTGCTCTACATGAGGCATGGAGTAATATACCTCCCCAAACCCTCAAGAATTTGTGTGAGAATCTTCTACATGGCTGAGGGACGTGATTAAGCATAAAGGACGCATGGTATGTGTTTGTGTTTTGGTACGTGTGTGGGGGAGGGGCGGCATAATGCCATGACTAGCACTGTATACATAATGCTGAAGAGACAAAAAACATTGACCTTGAAAACTAAATGGGCCACACTAAAGTAAATAGCCCATGGCTAACTAACAGCATCCTCAGGTCCATTGACAAAATTTTATTTTTTTGATTGAAAAAGCCACCAGTGGCAAAATATCTCATTTGGTAAATGTCTCAATTGTGCATGTGTTTATCATTTGCCATCATGAAGAAACAGTGGCTGGTGTGAAAGAATTCAAAGGAAATTTGACAATTATTTTGTTCTAATTAGCACTCATAATTATAACTCTTAGCATTGGTAAGAGTGTTATTTCATAGGCAGTCATGGGTATAAAAACTTGCAGGCTCATCACAAGACAATTAAAACTACTTTGATTACTAAGGATTTCATCCTTAAATGATTTCTCGAATATATTTTGAGAGAGTCCAGGGAGCATTGCAACAGTGTCAAGCTCTTTAAAGTACTGAAGAATAAGTTCTATGCTTAACCCTTTCAGGGTTTCCAACGTCCTAGTATGGCTTACGTGCCAAGGTTATTGACGTACTAGTATGCATAAATTCTAGCGCCTTCAAATCAAGCAGGAAAAGGCTGGTAGGCCTAGATGTGAGAGAATGGGTGTGCGTGGTCAGTGTGCATGGTAAAAAAAAATTCTGGGACCCAGTGGCACATTGTGGGAATGCCATTTTAGTACACCTTGCTCACCATGCCTCGCGGTAAGAAACTCCTCACTCCTCGGCGAATTGGGACACTTTTGTTCCCCAGTGACAGTTCTAATACAGATGGAAGTGCCAGTGAAGATGAGTTTTAAGGTTTTGATGAGGTTATGACCAAAACTAATGACCATAATACCGGTAATAGTGAGGAAAACCCAGACGACCCTCAGCCTTCCACCTCTGCTGCTGGGCCTTCTTGTTCACATTCAGTTGTACCAGACGAAAGAGGAAACTCCTATTTTCCCATATCCCAGACTCAGATGTGAGCATTGGTGATGATAGTGATAGTGAATATGAACTACAAGCTCTTGAAAACAGTTTCAGTAGTGATAGTGATGTGGAATATTCTCCAGTGAAGCTTCAGTTTTTATGACAGTATATGCGCTCTGGTAGTGTGCCATATGCTGTTCCAAAGGGAAGGAGTACATCTCGGAGTACATCCCATGTACAACAGGAACAGATAGTGAAAATGAAGATGATAGTGTTGCAATTGGGATGGAAAATGTGCATGGTGGTGGTAGTGGTGGTGCTGGCCGTGAGGCGCCAGCAGTGGGCCATGCTGCCACCCATGCCAATGCCTCAGCTGATCTACAACAAAGGCCACCATCCCCCACCCACCCACCACACCAGCCTCCACAACCACAAACTTCACAACCACAACCACCTGTCAATATCCAGTACCCACCAGCAGACTGCACCTGGGATTGGCAGGAAGCTGGCAATTTTGTTCCCAATCCCCATCAGTTTGATGAAAGTCAAAGTGGAATAAGGCCATCTTGTAAACTTGGGAACAATGCCACTGAACTGGAATGTTTCGAGTTATTCTTTGATGAACCCCTGATGGAAATTATTGTCAGGGAAAGCAACACATACTTCGATTACACCATGGCAAACACAATACTTTCACCAAAATCACACCTACACCAGTGGAAGGAGACAACTGTGGCTGAGATGTATCTTTTCTTTGCCACAATAATGCTTATGCCACATGTGTATAAGCACAGTGTCAAATCATACTGGTCAACAGACCGCCTAATTGCAACCCCAAGATTCAGTGATATAATGCGAGTGAATCGATTTGTGCTACTATTACGTATGCTACACTTCTCAGACAAAACCAGGCCTGACAGAAACGACAGGTTATATAAGATTAGGAATGTGTTTGTGTATCTGAAACAGAAATTCAATATGTATTTTTATCCCTTCAGGAAGCTTGTTATTGATAAGTCTTTGATCCTGTTCAAAGGAAGAC